ATTCCTGGTGAGTGGGACATCAAAACCAGAAATTTTAGCAAGCATTGTCTGCTCTAAGGGCTTGTTGCAAACTGGTTTTGAGCACTCAGCAACCTGTTGAGTATTTCCTGAAGTCCTGTTAAACTGCAGAACTGAAATGTATCCTTAGACTTTGGTTTATGGCCATATTTCCTCTGAAAAATAATGAAGCTGGAACACTGTTTTGCAAAGATAGCTAAGTTGAGCACCTAAGCTCACTGACATCCTGTCTCATGACCTTAGTGCACTGTTGCATCAGCACATTATTTGTATATGGCATAGACAAGCCACCAGGACTGTACATCTCCTGTTAAAAAGGCCATGCACTTCTTTCTGTTTTCTTTAAATTTTTTGGAGCTTTCATACTTTGTCATATCTGATTTTTATTGCCTGTAGTTCCAAAATAATGGTTTGCACACTTTCGTTTCATTTATTTTGGCCATGGTATCAAATTAAAATGTCCTGATTTATTATTTGAGCTGTATCACAATATAGCAAGGACTTGTGGGATGAACTCTGAGGCAGCATCTTGTAGGCTTTATCTCATACTCATCCAGCCTTCCGTGTTTTGGTGTTCTAGTTTTGTTAATGTTTATGTATCCAAGTGATTGTGTTATATTCAGTGGGTACACTTTGCTGTTATAAATCAACTTACATATTTCCAAGGGATGACCACAGGAAAGCTGAGCTTTACAAAGATATCAGTGCATTGTTAGGAGGTGATGTATTTACTAAACTCAGTAACAGTGGCAGAAAGAAGCAAATTTTCAGGTCTGTAAGTCACTCTGAGACAACTGAATGCAATCCCACCTAAGGTAAATGTAGTAGATCCTATTCCCACCTACTGGAAACATCCATATTTTAGCAGATTTCAGTGAGGATTGTCAGTATGCAACAGTTGCAGGAGTAGTAGATCCCTGCTCAGCAGAACCAAATTCTTAAAAGATAAAATTGCCTTAAAATGCTGAAGTTCAAAGTTTGTAGTCAATATTATTGAACAGTGACTTTGTAGTGGTTTAACTCCAATTGTATTATGTTCTTTTTGCAGGTCCCCAGGGTCCTCCTGGAGGTGCTGGTAGACCAGGTATGTGTCCAGTACCAAGAATAAAGTATATTGTTCTTCCTGCCTGGTACACTGAATCAGCTTTATGAGACCTCAATTTCAGATGACTTTAAACATATCACTGAGTGTCACCCAAAATATCGTCACCCAAAAACTTTGATGGGCCAAGTGCTTAGGTGAAAGATAATTTTAAAATGTCTTTATATGCTCATTGTATTTAATACAAGATAAAACAGGTTTGTGGGTTGAGCTCAGTATGTTTGTCTCTCATTCATCCTGTCGAGTAATTGCTTTGCTTTGAAATGCCATTTCTTCTTTAACTCTATCTTTGTGTTTTTTCCTCTTTGGTTAGGTGTGTCAAGGCCTGGTCTGAGAGGTCCCCCAGGATTTCCTGGGCCAAAAGGAACAAAAGGAGAGAAAGGACAAACTGGGCTGTGTATCGTAGGCCCTCCAGGACTGCCTGGTGTTACTGGCAGACCTGGTTCTGCTGGATTACCAGGTCCTCCAGGAGAACCAGGTGAGGTTATCATGAGCAAGAACAAATCCAGAGTCACTCCAGTACCTAATGTAGGAGATTATATAAACACAGTACTTGTAAAGTGCATTTTGAGTGATGTGATTGAATATAAATTCTCTTTGGAAGTTTTGTTTTGGGATAATCATGAAAACATATATGTGGTGAAGGTCTGTGCTCCATTGCTAATGAGCTGCTCTGGAAAGATACAATGACTTCCCATTATAAAGATTTCTCACCTTTTTTTATAACTGTGGCTATGAAAACATGCTACATAAAACCAAGAAAGGCTAATGAAAGAAAATCTGTCCTTAAAATTAATTCTTGAAAAAGCTGTAGTATGTCTGTGAAACTAAATTAAGAAGGAGTTAATCTGAAATAAATATTTCTCCTGTATTATATGAGGTATGGCCAAAACAGGTTTTTCTGATACAATATCAATGTGGTTCTACTCCTTTATCTCTTGAAAAAAAAAATCTATCCCCCCAATATATTATCTTAGGAAGAGATGGATGCATGTTCTGGTTTTGTAAAGTAATAGCAAATGCAGCAGAATAATTATGTGAAAGATAAATGAACAGCATTGATAATTTAGGCTTAATAAACTTGACCTTCCATTTGTGATTAAAGAAAGACACATGTTCCTGTTGCTTCACATGAAATGGAAGTACTTTCCCCAGAAGGGACTGTTCTTTTTAAAGACTGGATAGATGGATCCAGTTATCTGCTGACGTTTTCTTTGGCATTGCCATATTTATCCTCAAGAACTTCTAGTTAGTTTGGGATTGTTACAAGTAGTTCTCTCTTTTAACTGAATCATAGAGTATCTCAAGTTGAAATGGACCTAAAGGATCAGATACTGCCTCCAGCTGATCCCTACAACTTTTTTCTCTGATAGCAACTAGGGAATTGTCTGAATAATCTGCTGATGTAATGGTGCCATTCTTGTTTCATTAACAGGTACAGTAACATTTAGAAAAGGCCTACCAGGACTTCCTGGAGAGCCAGGCTGTGCAGGACCTCCAGGACCTCCAGGAGATACTGGCATCAAAGGTCAGTTGCAGCAAACTGTCGCTCAGAAGTGGATGGTACATTCCAGTAATCTTCATGGATCTTTGGATACTTCTAATTTAATTTACCTCGTAAGACATTTTATGAGTTCAGAAATTCAAGAAAATTTATTAGGGATAGCAAGATGACTTCCTTCCTGTACATAAAACATCAGTGTGCCAGCACTGCACACCAGTTGTGCAGCCCTGGAGCAGGGAACAAATCTCTGGAACAGAGATTACAGATTGGGAGGGTTATGTACTCCCTCTTGCTGTGTCCAGTGCTAACAGTTGGTCTCTGAAAGAAGGTTGCTTCCACCAATTTGATCCACAGGAGCTGCTGGATCTCTTTGCCATTTGCGAACCATTAGAGTGACCCTGGCTGTTAGAGCCATGTCAGTTTGAAGTGTATGTCCCTTTCTTCTTTGAAGAGAATTTGGCTTATCAGTAGAGTGACTGTATCCAAATTGTTTACTAAAACTTGACTTGAAAACATCAAGAGATTTGAACTGAATTATTGCCTTTTCAATTAAATGTCATTAAAACTCACTGTCTGACCACAGTACTGTGTTGAAAGTGATTGTCCAACAAAACTAAGGCCAAGATTCTACCACTCTCTGGCCAAAAATCATAGATTCATAGGATTTTAGGGGTTAGAATGGAGCTTAGGTGTCCCTGAGCAGGGACACCTCCCACTAGAGCAGGTTGCTCAAGGCTCATCCAACCTGGCTGTGAACACTGCCAGGGTTGGGGCAGCCACAGCCTCCCTGGGCAACCTGGGTCAGTGTCTCACCACCAGAACAGGGAAAAACTTTATCCTAATATCCTCTCCTTCAATTTGAACCCATTACCCCTTGTCCTGTCACTGCAGCTCCTAACACAGAGCCATCCTGCCTAACAAACTATGCAGCACATGAGTTCAGCTTGAGAATGTCATGCTGTGGAACAACTAATGAATGATGTTCATTCCAGGTGATGATGCCTGTGCGTGCACGGATTGCAGCTATATTCCGGGAATACCTGGCCTTCCTGGTTCTCCTGGGCCTCGTGGTCAGGATGGCATGCCGGGTAAATTATCTTCTTGTTCCTAACAGGAGAGTAGGCAATGCCAGTGATTGCTTTTAGCATGAGAATCAGGTGTGGGCATGTCTGCAGCATGCAGTCCTTGAACCAGCCCTGAGGTGGTGAGGAGTGTGAGAACTTGATGCAGCTCCATCTGCTTATGTGAGCACAAGCCCTAAAAGAGGTGAAGTCAGAGTGCTAATAGGCTTAGGTGCAGCCTGAAGTCAGGTCAGTCTGTGATGGTGCAGTCCATGTAACAAGCAGAAACATTCAGAGCTGGGTGTGATAATTGCAGCTTGTCAAAATCCATTTTTCTTCACAAAATATACTGTTTCTTTTGCAGGTAGAGAAGGAATAACAGGTCCAAAAGGTTCTCCAGGTTCTCCAGGAGCACCAGGGTTTCCAGGGCCTCATGTAAGACTTTGGATTTCAGATTAATTTTCAGATCCCACCAGAATTATTCCATAGAAACCTCATGGCTAGTGTAACCTGCAGTGTCATACTGGCTGATCTCAGCAGGTTTTTTCCTGTAGCAATGACCGTGTCTGCATGGGAGGTGAGGTAGAGCCTGTAATGTATGGCTGACCTACCTTCACATGAGCCTGGTTTGCTCAGTACAGCAAAAAATTCAGCCCACGCAGTGAGGCAGGTAAGTACCTGTGTGATTTAAGTTGTGCTGCATTTCATGATGGTTAGACTGCCCATTCTGCTGGGTATGGATACCTTACAGGTAACTTCTGTTCCTCTGTGTAACTCTATAATCACAGCAGCAGCTGTAAAGCCTATGTAGAAGTGCTGTGATCTTAGGGGTGTGAAGGGCATTCTCTTTTGGGAAATGTTGTAAGGAGGGAAGGCTGACACTACCACAGACACACCATTTGTAGCTTATTTATGGGAAGTTATAGTCAGTGCTTCCTGACAAAGAAATGCCATGCACAAATACTCACTGTGGTGGTTGCTGTGCAGATGGAGAATGAGTCTGCTGACAGCCTTTTCCAGGAGGCTCCCAAGAATTCTTGAGCCCAAGATCACTAGAGCCCACTGTGTTTTCAGGTTCTACTGGGTTTGGCTAGGATAGAGTATCCACTATGTTTCCTGTAGGGGAAAGAAGAGAGAGAAGTTAACTATGAACAGAGACAACTGTGGCACTTAGAGTGTCCCCAAAGAGATACTGACATGTGGAGGAGAAATCTCTAATAAGGTTTTAAGGTACTTTCTTGTCCTTTTTGTGCCACAGTCTTATCCATTATATTATCCTGTATTATTCCTGCTTGTAGTAGCATAAATGAAATGATAATTAGGTCCTAAAGGACTAAAGGCAGGAGAAAAAGAATAACAAACAGAAAAAAACAACAAATAGACAACCAAACCAAAACCCAAAACCCTGTTCAAACCAAAAACAACCAACCAACCAACCAAAAACTCAAACCTTGTTCAAACCAAAAACAAACAAGCAAGCAAACAAACCCCCAAACCCTGTTCGTTGAAGTGTACCATTACAGTGAATAAAGATGAGAATAAAGAAAAACCAGCTGACATATATCCAGCACTGAAACTCTTTTGACTACTTTGTTCCAGGGACCTCCAGGCTTTAGAGGAGATCAAGGATATAAAGGATCAAAAGGTGAGCCAGGATATGTGCATCCAGAAGGGCCAAGAGGTGAGAGAGGAGATCCAGGAGCCAGGGGAGACCAAGGAAGAAGAGGTTCAAGTGGATATCTGGGAAGACCTGGTGCCAAAGGATCCAAGGGTTCTAAAGGTGAAGAGGTGAGTTTGCACTGGCTGCAATTAATATAGAGGCCATTAGAACCTAAATCAATATTTTACCTTGTACAACACTCTGTTTAATCTATGCAGATATTCCAACTGAATATCCCCTACCTGACTACCAAATATATCAACTATCCTCAACTGTAACAACCAGTATGTGTGAGAGAATGAGAGGAAATTTTATTATGTAGTACCAGAGAGAGATGAGACTAATGTAGGTACACATTGTTGGGAAACCTCAGCAGCCCATTGGAGTGTTAGTTTGGATATTTACAATGGAGCCTTGTGTTGGATTCCTATGAAGAATAAGATCTTTTTTTAAAATATCATTTTCCTGACTACCTATAATGCTTAATAATGCCAGCAGTTCCTGGTCAGTCTTTAGGGGTTAATCTTCAGTTAGCACTAAGAGATACCACAAAAGCTGTGAGGACTGACCATAAAACTAGAATCCTTAGAGCAGAGATCAACAGGAACAAAAAGTAACAAGTATTGTTGTGTTGTGTTGGCTGAGAGACTGTTAATGTGGTTCAGATATAACTGTCTCTAAATCTGACTCTACAGTACTCAAGGAGAATCAGAGCTGAGGTGGGTTGGGTTTTTTTTGCCAAATGTGTTTTTAAAACAGAAAAAAAAGTGTACAGCGGTGGAAAATAAAATCAGCCTGTTGTATTTGTTTGTAATATTTCCCTCTTATTAGCCTTCTATTTGTAGCCAATAATGTTAAAGTTTATATGCATTTAATCACAAGTAAATTGGAGGAAAAAATTCTCTAAAATTAGCAGACTTACTCTGTTACTAAAATAATCCAAGGTTCTAGTCAGGGAGTTGGGCATTTTGTTATGGTGTGGAAAGCAAGTAATGCTTGGTATACATGTGTAATCCTTAGGGATTGGCTGGTTCCAAAGGAGATCGAGGACTGCCTGGATTACCTGGGAGACTTGGGCCTCCTGGAGAAATGGGACTTCCTGGACTGCCAGGATATGGACCACAAGGCATCAGAGGTTTTAAAGGCTCTAAAGGAATACCTGGTCCACCTGGATTACCTGGAGCAGCTGGTTTGTAACTTCCTATTTTACCACATTCAAGTGTACTTGATTAAAATTGCAGAGATAGGTTGAAGTCAAAGATGTAGTTGATGAAACACAAGAAACTTTTCCTTGCTGTGAGTTTTCCACAGCATTGTTCCAATTTTGGTCCCACTGAGGATAATAGCAAAAGTCTTAGGGTGATAATTGAGGTTGGAAGGGACTCTGTGTGTACTTTAGTCCAAACTCTTCCTCAGAGCAGGGACATCTATGAGATCAGGCCAAGTTACTCAAGTTCGTCCTTGAAAGCCTCCAAGGACAAAGCACATTATCTGTGGGCAACCTGTTCCAGTGCCTGACTGTCCTCATGGTAAAAGAAAATCTTGAAATATGCATCCAGTCATCATCATTAGTGTGAGCTAAGTCAGCAGGGTAAAATATGAAGAGCATGATAATTTTTGAGTGCTGAAAACATGCCAGTGTGTGAATTTACAGGCAAGCAAAATCTGGAGGAGCTCATCTGGACAGCAGGTATAGTCCAGGCTGCTTAGAGACAATGCCCATTGTGTCCTTATGACATGGAGTTGCAGATGAAGTGTTTCTGAGCTGCATCATTTTCCTAGTGACTTTGTGCTTCCTTTTCTGGGTCTCCACTAGACTGCAGGTGGGCTTGGTGTCAGTAAACTTCTGTTTCTTTATAAAGGCAGGGTCTGAAGGCTTTTCAGAGCCTGTTGGAGTTTCAGAAACATGCTAACTGCAGAAGTAGAATGAGCACTGATATTTTTTAATGCTCAGGATTACATCTTACCAAACTATCAGACTTTGTAATATTGGATTATGTGTTTGCTGAAGGTCTGAAGGGAGAGACAAGCAGGGCAACTCCATTACCTGCGCTGCCAGGACCTCAAGGACCAGATGGTTTACCAGGCCCCCCAGGAGTGCCTGGTGAGTGCTTCTGCATGACCTACAGGAAAAATCAGAGAAAAACTCACTGCAATTTCTCTCCCAGCTCTGGTCAAGTAAAACTATTTGGTTGCTTTGAAAGAAGTACAGAAAGGATTTCTGTGGTACAAATATTATGGAATTAGCTGTAACCTTCCTATTGTAGAAAACTGGTGGGAATGGATGTGAACAGGAAGGGCACACAGGACCATGTCCATGGTGTGCAGCGTGGCAGAGATTCCAAGCAGTCCTGTGCTTTGAGTTGCTTCCTCCAAGAACCAGAAACACTTGGTGTATATGCTGCAGTTTGTATATCCAGGAAGGTGTCTCTGGCATCATTTTGACAAAAGCACTTTATTGATTATGCTGGGACTGCTTCAACCTTCAAAACAGAAGAAACAAAATTAGGTTAAACCATTCTTTAGCTTCCCAAAGGCCTTGGTCCTGCTCTTGCTTTGCAGAGGCACAGTCCAAAAGCAACAGTATTACCAAGTTTCTTGGTTCCTTTTTTGACACGACTGTTACTGACCACTGAACTATAAGAACCTGAGTTTTATTTTTTGGGTGGGTTTTGGACTTAGATTCTAGTGGGGATTGTTCTGGTTGCTGGTGTTTTTTGTAGAATTTTTGAATGGACTGAAGGACAGTAAGTGACAGTGAGGCTAACCATAAGGCAACTTTGCTTAGGTTTTGTAGAACAATAGTCCTTAAAACAGCTCTGAAGGGCATAGGAATTTTTTTGACAGCTTTATGGTAGCTTATGGTATTATAGTTGCTTCTGTTTTAAGCCTCACCCCTATATGTTTTTGTATCCTTACAACAAGTGGAAGATTTGTATCTGTGTGTAGCAGTTCCTAGGAGTCTGGAATTTGGTCAGATTGCATAAATCTTAGCTCACAGCCTCATGCCTCCTTTGATACTGTGAATGCAATCAGTATTTTAACTGTGAAAACCTGCAGTGGAGGAGAAATATTGTCTAAGTTCTAATAGAATCTACAGTGGTGTCCTAATAATAATAAACTGTAATCTTAATAAGCTGTAATAATAATCTTACAAGTTGATGTTCTGTGGGAAGTTACTTCATAGCTTGTTTCTTTTCTTTGTACAGGTAGAGTTGGAGCAAGAGGTCAGCCAGGTGATTCAGGACATTTAGGGCCAACAGGTGACACAGGATTTCCAGGGCTTGGCTTTCCTGGAAACCCTGGTCCAAAAGGTAAAATAGCCTTTTTGATCTTCTTCAATCAACAGCAAAACCAAAAAAAAAAATCTTTTTTTTTTTTTTTCTTAAGTACACCTTAAAAAGAATTAGCAAGTTAAAACCAATAAATCAATGCATATTTGTCAGACAGGTCAGTGTTTTTAGCATTCTTGTAATTTCCTGCCTTAAGTCTTAGAAATGGGAAGTTTGAAATATTTTGGAGTGTTTCAAAGTATCAAGTATCAAAGCTGACAGTAGAAAAATATTTTAAAAGACATTGTTGCTTGCTGGAATATTGCCCAAACAGGTGGAGAACTGCCACAGTGACTTCAGATGTGTTTTCTTTACCTGGCTATGTGTTCCAGAGACAGAGCTGTATAAACTGTCAGTGCTTTATTTTTAATCAGTTTTGGTTGTGTGCAGTGCAATACCTGCTCTAGTGTGTGCATACTGCAAATTTGGCCATTCCCCATGCAAAGTCAACCCTTGGAACACTAGGAATAGTAAGAATTTACCGTAATTCTGTAAGGACAGGAGGGAGGAGTAAAAGCTCTTATAGTAATACTACCACCAAGCTGCTTGTTCAAGGAAAGCACAGGGAACTGACATCAGAATAGCTCTACTTTGAAAAAAGGAATCCTGTGTTAAATAACTGATTTGAAGCAAGTCATCAGTCTCCCAGTCAACACTGAGTGAGTATCTAAGGAACAATGTGTGTCACATCAGCTCTAACATAACGATGCTGTCTCAGCTCATGTAGCTGCTTTAGTGTCAGAGGCTCAGAACTGCATCCTTACAAATACCCAGCTGTAGAATAAAGTGATAATCATAGCATTTGCACTGCATATTGATTCCTTTTGCAGGAGATAAAGGACTTGCAGGAGGCAGAGGATCACCAGGTTGTGAAGGAAAGATTGGAGATCCAGGCCGGGCTGGAAACCTAGGACAACCAGGAGAAAAGGTTTGGACAGAAATCCAGCACAGACTTTTCCAGAAGTCATAGAATCATAGGATTTAAGATCATCTAGTCCCACCCCCCTGCCCTGGGCAGGGACACCTCCTCACTAGATCAGGTTGCTCAAGGCTCATCCAACCTGGCTATGAACACCACCAGGGTTGAGGCAGCCACCACGTGCCTGGGCAACCTGTGCCAGTGTCTCACCACCCTCATAGCAAAAAGCTTTTTCCTCACATCCAACCTAGACTTCCCCTCCTTCAACTTGAATCCATTGCCCCTTGTCTTATCACTGCAGTTCCTAACACAGAGTCCCTCTCTGGCTCCCTTGATAGAAATATGACTGTCATACAAAAAGAAAGGAAAAGCTCTGTTTGCAAAAACTTCAACCAGATTTTTCAGGTAGAGGTCCAAAGCTTTTCACAGCTACAGAAAGCAACCCAGTGCAGGAAAGACCAAATGGAGGGAAGTGTCTTTCATTGCTCAATAGCAGCTTCTTCAAGTTAGGAGGCAAAGTTAAAAAGCTGTGTAGGTAAATTACTGCTCTGGTATGGAACCTGCAGCTGGTCAGTAGGGAACATCCAGTGGTCTGCTGAAGCCAAGCCATTAGAAATTAGAATATGAAACATCCACAGGGAATAAAGAGAATGACCCTGATAAAATAAGTTAATTTTTCACACAGCAGAGAAAATATTTTGGCAGATTTTCAAAGCATCATTTACATTTCTGTCTGTGTTGCAGGGTGACCCAGGCATGATTATTCCTGGAGAGCCAGGTAGATTGGGCTCACCAGGAGGTCATGGTATTCCTGGCTCAAAAGGTGAAGATGGACTTCCAGGCCTCCCAGGCCTCTCAGGACATCCTGGACATGATGGTGCCGATGGCCTAAGAGGTAATGTTGTCAAAGAAGCTCAGGGAGCACAGCAGGTTATTGTAAGGAAAGCCAAGCCAAAAGATGCTCACTCAAAGCCTGAAACTTCTGCTAAATATAATTGTGACTCCAGTCTCCTTTCTTTTAGGAGATCGTGGCCCACCTGGAGTTCCTGGAGATCCAGGTTTTCCAGGGAAACCTGCTGAATGTCTTATTGGCCTGCCAGGTTTGCCAGGTGGCCAAGGAGCTACAGGCCCACCAGGTAGGACCTTCTGAACCTAAAGTGCCATTTGGCTGGGTGAGTCCTGGTTTTGTTTCTTCCAGTGGCCTGAGGGAGCTGAAGTTGTTCCTGGATGTTGGTTATAGGTATTCAGGCAGATATAAACCCATTTCAAAAACGCTCTTTCTGCAGGTGGGAGGAAGCACATGCACTGATGAAGATGGATTGAGATTCAGATTCTGTTGTACAGTATAAAGAGTAATCACAAACTAACCCAAATTCCACAGGAAAAAGGATATTTCAGGCATACCTCCCCTGTGGGACTGAACTTAGATTCTGTGGTGCAGTGTGATAAAGAAATAAAAGAAGGGAAGAGCTCAGCTAGGCAGGAAAACAGTTTAATGTCCCAAAAGTACCTGCATATGATTTTTGTCTCAAAAGAAACACACTCAGGTATGCAGCACTGTCCTCCTATATATAATCTCAAAAGATTTTTGGGGTTTTAGTTGGGATTTTTTTTTAGAGAATGAATGCAGAATTGGTGGGGTTTTCATGTGTGGATCTTTTTCTTTTTTTCTGAGAAGGAACTGTCTACTCTTGCCTTCCCTTACCCTTTTAAAAAAACCCAATATACAGCCCTTATAAGACTCTGAATGTGTATATGGTCTAACCTAATGTTTAGCCCTCAAACAGGCAGAGCTCAAGAAGAGTTTGAAGACAGAGATGAAGGTTGATTTTTCGCATAGATGTACCACACTATGCTGTCATGCATTTTTCTTAGGAGGAAGAGGTTCACAAGGTTCGAAAGGAAAACTGGGTCCTCCTGGTTTGAGTATCCCAGGAATCTACGGAAAGCCTGGGGAGCCTGGATTAATAGGTCTCCAGGGAAATACAGGATTACCTGGTCCCAAGGGGCAGTCTGGAAGACCAGGAATCTCTGGTGTGCCAGGTAAGGATTGCCCAAACACTTGTTTTGACATAGCAATTAAGTCAGTCTGCAAAAAGGTGTCAGTGATGTTTTTCAAGACTGAAGATGCTGGAATGTTTTTCCATCAACAGCTTTCAAATCTCTTTGAGATCTATATGGAAAACTAATAAATCATCATCCTCCCTTAATTGACAAGTATATTTTGAAGCCCTTGTGAAACAGTATGGAATTTTCTGTACAGTCTTCTGAGAAAAGTTTTGCATTGTTTTTTGTACAAAATTTTCTTTGCAGTAGGACATGAAGTAGTTAACATTCAGAGCAACTCCCCAGTGTAATGGAAGTGTAAAGTGCTTGTTACTTACTCTGCATCCCTTTTCAAACCCATGGTTTGTAATGCCATCTTCTTCGTCTTAAAAAGCAAGTTCATATATTGAGTCTGACTGACTTGAGTCAGATCAAGCTCTGTCACTAACCAGAGCAAACTTTCAGTAAGGTAAATAATCACTGATTTTTGGGTTGGTTTTTTTTTCTAGAAGTGTGTTCAAATTTGATTTGAAGAATACAAAAAAAAAAAAAAATCAGTCATGTAATGCTTCTTATTTCTAACAAAGATTTTTCCTTAGTATCAAATCCTTTATTATCCTGTGGGAAGGAGTTGGTACATACATTTTACTATAAAGAATCTATAAAATTTATGATAAACATGTAGCACTTGACTCAATTATACAAACGTTGACTTCTGATGTCATTTGAGGGGAGTTGTCCTGTCCCAGCTGGACTTCAACTCCTGAGCCAGAATGGAATATCTTTCCCATACATCTCAGGGAAGATCTCCCATCCCTGTGTGGATATCTCAGATACATTAGCTTTACTGTCAGTTGTTTCATTCATTGAGAGAAACCGTTGCAGCTACTGATTTTAGGTAGTTTGGGGGTTGTAAGTCCTGGTGCTGTGGTTAAAGACAGGAAAAGTGGCTTGGACAGCTACAGACATGGAGAAAAAACTAAAATAAGGAACTAAGCACTGAAATGACAGGCGTGTGTAATTTTCTGAAGTCATGTTCTCTTCAACAGATGAAATACTAACAAATATATTCCTGTTGTTTAAATTCCACAGGCTCAAGGGGAGAGCCAGGTATAATGGGCTTGTTAGGAGTTCCTGGACCCCTGGGCATGGCTGGAAGAGCAGGCAGCCCGGGTATCAGAGGCAAGTGACCCTTGTATCTGCCTTCAGTACTGCTCAGAAAATAGGAACTTCTATGCTGAAGTTACTCTTGTGATCCATGTTGATGTGTGTTACCATTCCCGAGTACACGTCATCCTGGAATTTCTTTGGGTCTTGGTAAATTTTTGTCTTCTGTGTAGGTAGAGTCTGTAGACTGAATGACATATTTTGGGTTTTTTTCCAGTTTTGACTTGCTACCTGTTCTGTTTTATTGGTATTTGTAAAAGTGGCTAGTGATTTGCTAAGTAAAGAAGAGAGGGTTTTTGCTCTATTTTTTCCATCCCGTATCAATACCATTACATCATCTATCCAACAGATCTAAAATCATATGTATATTCAGTATAAAAAATCATTACCATCTCTTGCCATAATCTGTACTCATATGTGTTTTGTTGATGATTGGAGGAGTTAAGAGGCTAGTTTAGGTTGTTGATTTCAAATCACAATTGCCCTGGAAGGCATTGCTTCCTTTGTGCTATGGTCTAGTCAGGGTTCTTCAGGAAATTTCATTGCATTTTCTTGCAGGTTCTTCTGGCTTTCCAGGAATAAAGGGAAGAAAAGGGTTTCTTGGAGCAAAAGGCGATTCAGGTGATAAAGGTTTTCCTGGACCATCTGAGACCTTGGTTGCTATTGGGGATAAAGGAGAACAAGGTTTAAAAGGTATACATTCATTTTCATTTTTCTGGCATTCCAGACTAGTCAGGGTTCTCATCTGGTTTGCAGATTGAGCAGACTCTAAAACACTGAAAACAAACTCCCTGACAGGAGGTTGGAGTCAGGTCTCTTCTCCCAGGCAACCAGCAGCAGGACAAGAGGGCACAGACTCCAGCTCTACTAGGGGAGGTTTAGGTTGGATATTAGGAAGAAATTTTTTACAGGGAGAGTGCTCAGGCATTGGAATGTGCTGCCCAGGGAGGTGGTGGATTCACCATCCCTGGAGGTTTTTTAGATGAGACTGGATGTGGCACTTACTGCCATGGTCTAGTAATCACAGTAGGGTTGGACTTGAGATTCTTACACTTCTTTTCCAACCTGGTTGAATCTATGATTCCATGAAACAGACTCTGCTGCTATTTATGGGACAGTTGGATATTGCCCTGAATATTTATTTCTATTTTAACAAGTCCATATTCCTTTATAAAGCTTTTGTTTTAAGGCTAGACCAGCAGTAATGTGTTAGTAGTACTAGGAGGCTTTTATACATATATGCTGTGCATTCATGTTTCCACATATTCAGTATCCTGTGAGCAAAGTGCAGTTCCCAACTAGATGTTGGATTGCAAAGACATTGAGTCTGCCCAGGAACACTTGACTGTCAGAAGAACCTCTTTATTTGCAAAATTAATGTGTATATGAGTTGTACATGTTTAATGCTCTCTGACTTTATGTGTCTATATCTTCCTATGGAAGTTGTCAGAAAATTCCTTCAGTCTCCACATCAAAAATGCAGAAGGCACTAACTGTGAGCTTTTGGCTTTTGTCTTGCTTAAGTGTGTTCACAGGGCAAAAATCCTATGCTCTACCTCTGTTTCATTGGCTCTAAGAGTAATAAAATCTTAAATTTTGCATAAAACATATATTCTAAGATGTTGGTTTTTAATATTTTTAAATGAAATTTTGCCTTAGGAGTTCAAGGAAGAATAGGTCTGAGGGGAGAAAAAGGAGATGTTGGTGTGCAAGGTCCCTCAGGTCGTGATGGCTCTGAAGGAATTCCTGGTCTGCCAGGTATGGATTATGTGCACTGAAAATCACTGTGTCATGTGGAAGGTGTGTAGGAGAGGATTCTGTATTCCTGACAGCTCTACCAGCCAGACAGTGTCTACAGCAAATGTGAGAAGGTGGCACTTATTTCTTCATTTTGCAGGTAGCAAAGGATTTATGGGTCTTCCAGGGATTCCTGGAGGCCAAGGATTCCCAGGTGCACCAGGAGACAAAGGGGACATGGGAATTCCAGGTAATTTTCTGTCAAGGCATAGTACAAATTCAGAGCTGTACAGAAGCATTTGCACAGGTCAGAGCTGTTAGTGTAAGCACAGGACACAATACTTGGGCTGGGATTTGTTCTTTGCAGTGCCCATAGACTTCCCATCAGCCCAGCATTTGCTTGACTTGCAGACTTCTCTCTCTCTAAAGGAAACTTACCTTCAATTTATATATTGTCACATGTCATTCTTTTTAATATGCTTAGAAAGAAAATCAGTGTCTGTGTAAATTACTGTGGATATATAGGCAGTATTTCACAAAACACAAGGTGTGCTATGCAATTTTGATCCTTTTAAGAATGGTATCAGTATCTGCATTTTTCCAGGTCCAAAAGGACAGAAAGGATCACCAGGATTTCCAGGACCATCAGGCGACCCTGGTCCCCCAGGCTATGGTGGCTTTCCAGGTGACAAAGGAGATCCTGGGTTCCCATCTGCTGGGCCTCCAGGAGAACCTGGACCTAAGGTATGAAGGCATTGGAAACATTGTCCTGTTAGGCAATCAGCAAAGCCTCTGGCTATAGAAACAGAGCAACATGTAAGCAAGAGCTGCAGAGTTTGCAGAAGTAGAAGATTTGTTAGTGACATGAAGTATGAAAATTCTATTGTGTCATTACTCAGAAGAAATTTTTTCGTTCATTATATTTCAGAGGTTTTTTGGTGCAAGAATTTCTTATTTGTAATGATGGAACCTCATGGAAATAACTTGGTTTCTGCAGAAGTTCCTAATCCATTAAGAACAGGTGAGCAGGTAGAGGAAAAATACTTGCACATTAAAAAGTACAGGAAAACATCCTCTTAGCAAATGCCAAAGTTTTGTCATCCAAACTTGTACTGTTTGGATTTGACAGCCTAGGAATATCCTTGCCCAAGATTAATTTGTTTTTTTCTTAGCAATATATATTGCATCAGGATGTTTGATGATATATATTGCTAAGAAATAAACTGTATCTTTTACATTAGGTCAATTGGATCCAATTTTACTCCATGTTCTGGTTGGACAACTAGAAGTCTTTTCACATATGAGATTATCTGAAATGCTTGGCTGAGACCTGACTTTGCTTTGATTTTTGTCTGAAAATCACGATGAAACATGATTACACTTACTGAACCTTGAAAATTACATGGGATTTTTCTGTTGTTCAAATAGGAAATATAGTGTGATTCTTTACCTATTTGTGTGCAACTGCTCTTTCTCAGGGAGATCCAGGCCCCCCAGGAGTTCTGGGCAGCAAAGGAGAACAAGGATCCCAAGGTCATCCAGGGCATACAGGAGTACCAGGAGCACAAGGGATCAGAGGGGAAACAGGAGGTTCAGGAATCTCAGGTATGGGGCATTTTTGGAGGAGTAGTTAGCTGTTGACATGCTTGCAGACTAAGATAGTTTCTCAATAAACAACACAGGGTTCCTGTGGGTAGCACATCTACGTTACACTGCTGGAAACAGCAGTGGTCAGTGGTGGTCAGTCAGCCAGGCTAGCTTACATCTCCTGGAGATGTTTTGCAGCTGGCCAAAGCAGAAATGATCACCAAGCTCTCAAACTGAGCCTGGATCTCTGTTGACATGCTTGCAGACTAAGATAGTTTCTCAATAAACAACACAGGGTTCCTGTGGGTAGCACATCTACGTTACACTGCTGGAAACAGCAGTGGTCAGTGGTGGTCAGTCAGCCAGGCTAGCTTACATCTCCTGGAGATGTTTTGCAGCTGGCCAAAGCAGAAATGATCACCAAGCTCTCAAACTGAGCCTGGATCTAGTGATAATGCCTTCTCTGCCACTTTTCTTTCTTCTTACAGGAAAGTGTGGACTCCCTGGAGATCCTGGTGCTAAGGGACAGCAGGGCCCCCCAGGCCAGCAGGGTGTCCCAGGTCCTCCTGGTATGGTATAGAGCATCTCTCTGAAACCACTGCCCTCTGCTGTGGGATTTTCTTTCATTCTTTAATTACCTTCTCTGGTTCCAGCTAAGATTTATAACAGCCACTTTTAAATGTTATCAGTTCAGTTGAAGCAAGGAATTTTAATTTTGTTTCACTATTGGAAAGCCTTTTGCCTTTTTCTTTTTATTTTCCAATATATATCCAGAGGTCTTAAAATGTTATATCCACACAAGTATAAGAAAGGCTTGTTCTGTCTCAAAAATGAGAATGATAAACTAAGATAGAGCTAGATGAGGAGAAGGAAATGAATTAAAGTCAAAAGAGGGGACAGAGTTGTAGCTGTTTGTTAAAGCAAAAAAGTAAAACAGAATTACCAATGTACCTAAGGGGCAGTGTGGAAGTATGCAGAGACAGAGAGGTATGTAATGCAACTTTACTAATGGGAGTGCCAATCATTGTCTTCAAAATAAGCATTGAATAGTCATCACAATTAGCATGTTGTGGTTTTGCAAACTTCAGTGAACTTGCACTGACTTAGCAAAGGTCCAGATCTCCTCCCTGCAGAGAGACACCTTGAGTTTGTAATGAAGCTAGGGAGAGAACCCACACTGCCTGTGTAGGCTCCCACCAGCATGTGTTAAATCCCAGACTGGGTCCTAAAATGTCTTTGAAAGACAGAAAATCATTGCTTGTGACAATACTAGGGGTGTTGAATCCATTGAGGTCCAGTGAACTTGATAAAAAAAACTTATGCTGCTCTTTACAAATGTTTCTACACCAACACAGTTATTCCTATCTCTGAAGTAGCTGAACTAATTAAGTTTTAATATAGTCACAACTTCACCCACTGAAATGCAAAATAAAGTGAAAATGACATTGTGGTCCACTGTAATTCACAGGAGCTGTTGGACAGCCTGGAAGATATGGACTTGTTGGTGAAAGAGGGATTCAAGGTCAGGATGGGATGCCTGGTCCCCCGGGAGAAAAGGGAGAACTAGGTAATAACCAGCAAAATATTTTCATTCTAGTTTACAATGCTTTTTTTTTTCCGTAATTAAACTGACAAGAATAATCAGGAGCTTCTGTGGTGCCAAAGATAAGTTTATAAGAAGGTTATTCACAGATTTTTCTAGGTAATTGTTGTATATTCTGTCAGCAACCCAAATGTGATTTGTCCCAATTCACCCAGAAATGTTACTGTCTGCAGGAGACTAAGTGTTGCTGTTAATAGTTCTTATATGTTCTATCTCAAAGAGATTAAAAGGACTAAAACTCTTTTAAAGGAATCTTCTGCCCCACATGGAGATAAAATAAATGGAATCACAGCATTTCCTTACACAAATGCTGAAGGTTTCAATGACCTGCACTTCTTGGGTTGTAAAACCCAAATTTCAGTGTCACTCAGTAACACTTTCAGTGTTATCAATGTCCACAGAGAGATTTGGTCCAGTGAACTCATTTCCAGTGTGAAATATGAAAACTTTCTGGCAGTTTCTTTGCATGTTAGTATAAAGAGGATACTGGGAAGGCGTTAATAGTGTTTTTTTTTCCGTAATTAAACTGACAAGAATAATCAGGAGCTTCTGTGGTGCCAAAGATAAGTTTATAAGAAGGTTATTCACAGATTTTTCTAGGTAATTGTTGTATATTCTGTCAGCAACCCAAATGTGATTTGTCCCAATTCACCCAGAAATGTTACTGTCTGCAGGAGACTAAGTGTTGCTGTTAATAGTTCTTATATGTTCTATCTCAAAGAGATTAAAAGGACTAAAACTCTTTTAAAGGAATCTTCTGCCCCACATGGAGATAAAATAAATGGAATCACAGCATTTCCTTACACAAATGCTGAAGGTTTCAATGACCTGCACTTCTTGGGTTGTAAAACCCAAATTTCAGTGTCACTCAGTAACACTTTCAGTGTTATCAATGTCCACAGAGAGATTTGGTCCAGTGAACTCATTTCCAGTGTGAAATATGAAAACTTTCTGGCAGTTTCTTTGCATGTTAGTATAAAGAGGATACTGGGAAGGCTGGAAGTTTAGAAAGTTTTTTTCACATCAAATTTGAAGTAGTCACAGTCAACCTATTTTCTTTTCTTAGGTATTTACATTTCTCCTTCTATCTAACTTAAATGCAGATGCTTATTATTCTAGAATGTACCTCAAATATGATTGATCAATAGCAGTTCTACTAGACAGAAAAATTGAACAATTTAATCGGTATTTCTGTATCAAAGACATGGAAATAATAAATTATATTTTGCATCTAAACTACATTTTGATTCAGTGAGTTACATTTGGATTCAGTGAGTTCTGAAGCAATGGATGAAATGTTAGACAACTATGATGTTTTCTAACAACAATTCAGGACTTTGTGTGTAATGTGACCTAATATTTTATAGGAGCACCCGGGAGAGGAATCCCTGGCCCTCAAGGTTTTCCTGGTCGTAGAGGTGAGTTGACTTTTCAAAAAGCAAAAGCTTAAATAAAGTATTAAAAGAAAGTCAATAAAGTAATACCAGAAAAAGCAAAATAAAGTAAATGCCAATATAAAGTAAATACCAGGATCATCATCTCTAAGTCCTCTCCTGCTTTCAGATGCTTGAAATGGCACTAAGAGTGTCAGGGGAAAGCAGGAGTGGTCCTGTGCTTTTAGGCAGTGATTTGGTCCTGTAGATTAAACACCAAGAGTTCTTGCTTGGAAAGTTTAGCCTGTTGTAGAAGGGACATAAAGAAGCTGACTCCTCTGGGCTTCTGAGGGTGAAATGCATATTTTAGAGCTTTGGAAATGTTATTGTGGTGCATAATTTGAGTAACAGAGTATGCTCTCATGAAAAAAGATGCTGCTACAGAATGCTGAGCAGACTTTAAGAAAGCTGCAGTGATTGCATTTTACTTCTGTTCACCTTCCCTTTTATACTGATGAACAGTTGACTGAGGGGACACTTCCCATCTCTGAGGTTTTGCATTGTGTTGCTAGTGCTGGTAGAAATCCACTGGTTTGCATTGCTTGCAAAAAGTAAAATTAAACTATTCCAAGATGAACTTCAGAGCAATATCCTTTTTGGAGTAGTCTCTAATTTTGTTGTATTCATATTGATGCTTCTAGCTGGATTTTAGTTGAAAAGGATTTTTAGTTCAGATGTACAGAGAAGCCTTTCTACTTACACATCAGAAAATATTCCCTTCTCTGGTATTTCTAAACTCCTCTCACATGTATTGTTGGTGTGAGCAATCTCTAAAGTGTGTACACTGCCTTGCAATGAGTCCTGTCTTCTCACAGCTATTTTGCTTTAGAATGTCAGGGTGGTTCTGGGGACTTCTCCGTGCTAAGGCTGAACTCCATCTTAGTGTCACAGGAGACACAGTCTGAGTACTTATATCACCTTACTGTCTTGGCAGCTTGCCCCACATGCAATACTTGTACTTTTCAGGAATCAAAGGGGACATGGGACTGCCTGGTTTTCCTGGGCCACCAGGTGCAAAAGGTCATCAAGGAGATCAAGGACCCACTGGACCCCCTGGCTTAGTGGGGTTCCCTGGATTTCAGGGAGCAACAGGCATGGCAATTCCTGGCCAGAAAGGGAACAGAGGTGCTGCTGGTGCACGTGGAAGACCAGGTGTGTTGTTATGACTCCTATTTATCTGAAATGGTGCACTCATGATTGAAAGGGACCTGGGAGTTTGGAGAGACAGAAAGCTGAACATGAGCCAGCAGTGTGCTCAGGGGACCAAGAAGGCAAATGGCATCCTGGGCTGGATCAGGAACAGTGTGGTCAGCAGGACCAGGAGGTGATTCTGCCCCTGCACTCGGTGCTGGTGAGGCCACACCTTGAATCCTGTGCTCAGTTCTGGCCCCTCAGCTCAGGAGGGACATTGAGGTGCTGGAGCAGGTCCAGAGAAGAGCAACGAGGCTGGTGAAGGGACTGGAGCACAAGTGCCATGAGGAGAGGCTGAGGGAGCTGGGGGTGTTCAGCCTGGAGAAGAGGAGGCTCAGGGGAGACCTTCTCGCCCTCTGCAACTCCCTGACAGGAGGTTGGAGTCAGGTGGGGGTTGGTCTCTTCTCCCAGGCAACCAGCAGCAGGACAAGAGGGCACAGACTCAAGCTCTGCCAGGGGAGGGTTAGGTTGGACATTAGGAAGAGATTTTTTAGGGAGAGAGTGATCAGGCATTGGAATGTGCTGCCCAGGGAGGTGGTGGATTCACCATCCCTGGAGGTTTTCAAGACGAGACTGGATGTGAGTTAGAAGGCTAGGAAAAAAAATAGTAGATTTTCAAAAAATATATTGTATTTCCATGTATATTTTCATGGGAATCACTGAGGTGATGAACATGATTATCATTATAAAGTCACTGAATGTTGCACTGTGTTGTCTGTAATCTATGTGAAAAGCTGTTAGCAGTAGTCTTTACTTATTCTGATGTTTCCATGCAGGTGCCCCTGGTTTCCCAGGGCTTCCTGGTCTTTCTACTCCCAGTGTGAAAGGAAGCAAAGGTGTCAGAGGGGCAGATGGCATACCAGGGCCAACAGGCCCAGCCGGCGACATTGGTTCTCCTGGCCTAAAAGTCAGTGAAAGGAATATTGCTTGTTTCTTACTGCATTGATCATTTGTTCTTAGCATGAAAATAATACTCAGGATAATTCAAAAAACCCTCAAAGCCCACAAACAAACCCAAACCCCAGCACGTTTCCACAAAAATCCCTTGTAATAGAGGAAAGATGAAAATGGATGTGAGAGTTAGGTTTTGTGAAATTATGTGGACCAATAAGATATTTTTTTAAAATTTCTGGCATGTCATTTCCTTGGCCATTCTATATTTACAGAACAATGTGAACAATCACATGCTGGTCTGCGTCCACAGGAGTGTGGGCAGCAGGTCAAAAGAGGTGATTCTTCCCCTCTGCTCTGCTCTTGTGAGACCCACCTGGAATACTGCACACAGTTCTGGTGTCCTCAACATAAGAAGGACATGGAACTGTTGGAGTAAGTCCAGAGGAGGCCACGAAGTTGATAAGAGGATTGGAGCATCTCCCCTATGAGGACAGGCTGGCAGAGTTGGGGCTGTTCAGCCTGGAGAAGAGAAGGTTGTGTGGAGACCTCAGAGCAACTTTTCA